GTAGACAACAAAAAGTGAGTAGAAGCCGATAAAAAAAGTATTTTTTTCTTTACTGTCGATATTAAACTGATGACATACTATAATGAATATGTGTACGCCTTAAAAAGATATTGTCCACTGATTTCGAAAAATCGTTGAACAAGAAACATTAAAGATAAACTGTTGGTAATAGTAGTAGAAAAGAACAATAGACAGTTGCTAATGGAGCTAGACAAAATTGCTAACTAATACACGCAAGCAATTGAACTGATTTAATATAGTGATCCATTGGTGTAAAATGAATTACATGAAAAAATAAAGACCATATAAACAAAAATGTCGGTGAATCACAAAAACGGAGTAAAATTTAATAAAAAAAATTATATGCCGAATGAAATTAATAGTAAAAGGTATATAATAAGATAATGGTCAACAGACAAAAACGATGTATTCCTTGCAATCCATGAGAACAGACTTGTGATTCCAATGCATGAATTTGAATAAAAAAAACTTGATCAAACAACGAATGAATGATATTGATTCTATATAAAAGTGGATCGATACACTGCTCTCAAAATATTTGTTATATGATGTCAGAATACTAACACACATCCCACCGATCAAAGTAAGCGAAACACCTTATTGTTTCTATTATTTCTCTGAATTGTTACCGTTTCGTCTCATATCCATAACAGATATTCATTGGTTACGACTCTCTCTCTATTCTATAATTTTCAGTCGCAAATGATGAGAAGTAATCAATAAATTTGCACTGATGTTTCATGTACTCGAGTGTCGTTGAAAAGAAAACTTCTTAGTTATGATGGTTTCAATGATGTTTTCAGATAAAATTTGTGTTCTTTAGTGGTCCACTACCATGTAATAAGTCAATCATATGAACAAGATTATTCGAGTTAAAAGATTCCAGATTCGTTCTGCATTTGTCGTCGACATAGTAGAATCGAAAATTGACTGTTGCCCTTTAATACTTCTTTTTGTTTCTTTTCTGATATATGTGATCTTATCAAATTTCTGATAATAATGCATGCAAACAATCTCAAGATTAAATTGAAGACCAATCTGCCTTTTTTGTTCACATTTTCTGTTATTTACTTTTCTATTCGACTGGAACTGAAAATTTCTGTTGTAAAAGGTTACCAATATGCTATCTCGTAAATTGATTCTGATAAAACAAAGAAAATTATTTTACCGTTTTGTATTGAATCACTAGGTAAATGAGTGAATGGAAAAAAAGTTAACAATAATATTGATAGTTGTCATCAATGGACCAGCAACAATCGCCAAATACACCAGAAAAACCAATGCGTCGTCATACAATCGATGTCCACACATTATCAATGCCGCCTCGCTACGATTTTGTTTTACCATCATACAGTAGAGATCGACGTGTATCATCAATAATAACAACTATACCATCGTCAACTGTCATAAACGAAAATTCCACAAATGTTAACATCCCAATTCCTGAGCAAAATTCACCATCATTTGAAAGAGCGGATAATAAAAAAGGTATGAATAATTCATTATATGTAAATTTTTGAAAATTTTTATTTGATTTGTGTCATTCAATTTATAAAGTTCTGATATGTCTGATATTCTTTTCTTGTTTATTACGTAGACGATGATAATCGGTATTCATTGGAACAAATGGTTTCTTATAGACATGGACGGCATGTTGCAGATAAAGCATTGTCACGCGACGTTAGGCAAGGATCTCTTTCATTATTGAATTCGACTATTTGATTTTATATCCTTTTTTTATTTCAAAGAAAATTTTACGCCAGACAAGATGAAATAATAGATCATTATTCAAATATACAAGAGCGACATGAGTCTGGTACATCGCATGATGAACGTGTAGAACGACATAAGCGATGGACACTTATACTTATTAAAACAACTCTTATTTCCAACGTGGTAAGACAACTCTTCATTTTATTCTGTAATTTTTTTCTTATAATACATTTTCATAGATTCTTGTGTTCGGAAAAATATTTTCTGCTATTATTTCTAAATCACTGTCAATTGCGTCATCAGCCATTGATAGTACAATCGATTTAATGTTAAATTTTGCTATTTGGTGGGCGGCTAGAGCTATAAGAAAACGGAATCCATACCTTTATCCGCAAGGTTTGAATAAACACCTAATAAATTAAATTCTATAAGATTCTTTCTTTTTCTCATAAGGACGAACTCGACTTGAGCCTATTATTATTATTATACTTAGTGTTGTCATGTGTGCTGCTAGTTTTCAAGTTATTTTAGAGGGAGTTCGTTCAGTTATTGAAGATGTTAACTATTTTCGTAATGTTAGTGGTTATGCATATGAAAAACCACCAGTTGACATCAATCCTGCAGCAATATCAATTATGTGTATAACTGTTGGTAAGTTTTTTTTCGGACTAATATTTATATGTATAGTTTTTTTTTTCTTTTGCAAAAGTCATTAAAATTGTACTGTCTGTATTATGTTATCGAGTTTCGACACCAACAATGTCAGCACTTGCTGCTGATCATCGAAACGATGTTGTTGCAACCGTAGTAGCATTAGTGTTTGGAATTATTGGTAAGAGTTATACAAAAAAAAAATAAATTATATAGATATTAAAATTATTCTAAAGGTGGTTTTCGAAAGATAGGTTTATTTAGTATTTTTTTTATTGCTGATTGCTATTTCAACAATACATTTTTTTAAAATTATTACTAAGATGTTTTTGAAGAAATGAATTCACTCCAGAAAGCAACAACTAATTAGATTTGTTCATTTTATTAGGCTCCAAAGCAATAGACGGTGAAATTAAACCAAGAGAATTATCAGTCATTGATCCGGTTGGTAAGTGTAAAGTAAAACATATTTTATTACATATTAAATTTTATATTATTTGCCAGGTGCTATAGTAATTAGTTTATATATTATTATTTGTTGGATTCCTCAAGTTCGTCGTGAGTAACATGATTAGTTTAATACGAAATCGCTATATGATGATATATTTTTACTTATAGTTCATATTCGAAATCTAACTGGTTATACAGCTCCGTCTCAATTTCTTCAACAATTAACTTGGATAGCATTTCATCATTCACCACTTGTACGCAAAATAGATACAGTACGAGCATATCATTTTGGTACACATTTTCTTGTCGAAATAGATGTTCTTCTTCCTGATGATTTACGTCTCCGTGAAGCAGTTCATGTTGGTATTGGTCTCGAACAAAAAATAGAAGCATTACCAGATGTTGAACGTGCTTTTGTTCATTTAAATTGTGAAACTACGAGTGCTAATCATTGTAATAGTACTGATGATCAAGATCATCAGTTAGTTGCTGCTGTCAATCGACGGCATCACAAGATTGTTTGAATAAATAAATAAATAATTAAGCTAGAATGAGAATATTTTAATCTTGAATCGTATCAATTACCCCAAAGTACTTTTATATGTCGCACAAGGTTTTTCTGTTTTTTTGTTCTGTCGCAATGCATGAATGATAATAGTATTTTTGATCAATTATTTTCTTTTTTTACGCAGTTTTATTGTATGGACATCTTTGTTTTTCCGAGAAAGTTTTCATTTTTGAAATCACTGTTATGATACGTATGAATATTGAAACAAATCTAGATGGAAAACATCTGAGAAGTCTTAGATCGAATGAAATTCAACTAACAATTAAAGAACTTAAAAAACGAGAATATATTTCTAGTTGTAGTCTATTAGCTGTTTTAGTTGATTTTTATTTGTGAATTACATGAAGTTGTTCTTTTTCATGACTGATTGGGATCGTTCTCAAAAAGTTCCTTCAATTTCCTGCATTTTTTTCAAATGCGAAAGAGGTGGATGCACTCATTTGTGATCATTAAACAATTATGTTACTGACTATTTTTTTCAATTATTTTTTATCTATTTTGACGTCTATTATTGGCATCGTGATTGGCCTTTTTCGCTCTTGTCTTCACAAGTATATCATAATCACTTGAAGCTGCTGTCGGATTATAAGACCTTATTCGTATAATGATCATTTTATGAGTTGGTACGGAAAGCAAGAGTACAGTTTAATTTTAGTTCATTTATAGCTGACTAATACACAAGTAAAACATCTATAGTTAAAAGTAATTTAACTTACACAAAAAAACAATCATTATGAAGATATCCACTTGTTAAGGATTAAAGGTAAAGAGAAAGTATTCGATTCAACAATATAAAAAATCTATCAACTTGTCTCTTGATTGTATATAATATTGTGATTATCATAGAACTATTCAATTGTTATTTAATTGGTTTTATTGGACTAGTAATTTGACTGCACTTTTATCAATTATTAAAAAACTAACACTGAAAAGTATTATCCATTCGAGTTTACATATCTTATTCTGTTGATAGTATTTACTTCTTTAATTTTAGTTTTATCTATTGATGGACAATAAATAGAACAATATAAAGAAAATATAAATGTAAAAGATGAAGCTGAACCAAATACTAATCAATTTATTGATGATCTTCAACAAGCAACGCATACTTATCGAGCATTCATAAAGATTCTTCACTAAATGATTTACCGTGAAACATTGATCTACTTGTACTAATTATGTTAATATTTATATTTGAGAAAATATTTAATATTAATTTTTAGCCTGAATCATACATTTGGTGTGGTTTTATATGAATTTCTCTTATAATGGTATGAACGACTTTAGTCTAACATTTATCAAACCCAAAGTGGGGCTTCCTATTCATCTAACCTGTAAATCCTGTCCTACTAGTCAAAAATATCATAATATCACTGTACTTTATGAAATCAAAAATATTTTTTGCAACGATCAAAGATTTGGAATATGTATGCATTTATGCTTCAGCATGAATGAAATCTATGATTATGTTAGTTTTCTTATTTACATCAGTTATTGGTAGTAGACTTTCTTTTTTGCACTTATACAAATGACAATGAATCCAAAACAACTTTTGATGTATGTATTATTATCAATTGTAGCACTCATGATTGATATTTTGTTTTACATTACATTTCAAAATGAACACCAAAAATATATAACACGATGTATTAACCAAAAAGATGTCGACTCACCAATTACGACTATAAGTATAGAATTACAGAAAAAGTACTCATTCATAAAATTAGCTGTCTAATCTTCATATGTATAGCTATTTTGAAATATTAACTAACTATTGTCATTATATATGATATTGAATTATAAAGAAATTTGAACAGATTGTTCTGGTGCTCTTCAGTGTAAATCAATCTATTGACGCAATTTTCTTGCACTGATGATGGAAGCAGTAGTATCCGTATTGGTTTTCTGAGTTGATATTGAAATTAAATTAGTCGTTCAGATTGATGTTTGCCCTAATAATTTCCATTTTATGATGCCTCACAGTGATATTTATTAAAAAAATTGTTACAATATGATGTGGAAGTTCTTGAACCCATTGAAATTCAAGAACATCAAACGACTCATTCACGAATAAATTAATGAAAAGAACAAAATTTCAGTTTTTCCGATAAGATGAAAATGATTTATTTAAATCATCTCATGTTGATTTCTTTCTCTATGATCAATGATCGGATGAAAATTTACAATTATCAAAATAATCTATTAAATCATTAGCATCAATACTATTTTATTATTTTTATTATTATTATTATTATGAAAAAAATTGATTGAATATTGAAGCTTTAGAGCACGATTTAATTCTGTTGTTGGTGATCATACACATTCTGCATCATACAACCATAATACATGGTTTCATTATTCTCAAAATAGGCTTATCGGTTTCTTTCCACATGACATTTAAGTATTCAATAAATTCTATAAAAGATCGATATACAGTCATTGTAATGATTATTTCGCATGTTACCTTTTACTAATTTTAAGGATTTATATAATGCAAACTTTTCTTTATAAAATAAGTGAGTTGTTTTTAGTATCACTCGCTTGATTGGTAGCGGTAATTATTTTTTCAGAAGATTTCTCAATTAAGCAAAACATCATAGAATGATATTTTCATTAAAATTTAGGTATGACTAATTGTTTCATTCCATCTATTAGTAATTTGATATATTTAAATAAAATTATGTGACATGCAATTGCAAATAAAAAGAAATATTTACTCTGATTCATTCAATGATTTAGTTATGCTTTATATATTAATCATCTCCTTCTCCTTTGATATCAATGAGTAGACTACGGAAAATAATGCATAAATTTAATAAGCACATCAATACGGTTTTTTTATTTAAACGAAAAACAAACAGAATTCACTAAAATCCAAAATCCCATTTTGCTTCTTGTACAACTTGTCTAACAGTATAACAAATAATTTGATCACCTTTTTGAAATTTAATATCATGATTTGTAAATGATAAACCACACTCTACACCTTTCTTGATTGATTGTACATCATCACGTAAATGTTTTAAAGATGATAAAGTATCTTTAATATAAGAAAAAAAGGAATATTTTTTTAAACGCAAAAAAACATTATTTACCTCGATGAATAACTTGACCATTACGTATTAATTTAAATAGTTGTTTCTTTTCTAATGAACCATCTGTAACACGACAACCAGCTACAGGTATTTTTTTATTACGTTCTGTTATTTCAAATACTTGTAGAACGTCTGCTGAACCTGTTTGAACATCTTCTTCTGTTGGTGGTATACGTTTTGTTAATTCATCTTTTATGTCATTTAACATATGATAAATAACATTAAATGTTCGTATAGGAACATGTTTTCGACTGGCTTCAAGTGCTATTGTTTGATTTACATTTGTATTAAATGCATAAATTGTTGCTAGAAAAAAAAAACAATAACAACAAATAAATCGATATATTTAGATTATAGCATTTTTTTTGAGAAACAAACCATTAAAAAGCTGAGCTGCTTCTATATCATCATCATTAACAGGACCAACTGATGCATCAATTACATCAAGTGGACATCGAGTATCATTGTGCATATTAATAATTTTTGTTAATGCTTCCAATGTACCAAAAACATCAGCTAATGATATAAAATATAAATGTTCTTTTTTTTTTGTTTTCAATTCAATGATTATAAATTTACTTTTGATAAGAATAGAATATTTTAATTTTTCTTCTTTATCTTCAATATGTTGTCCAGAACCTTTATCACGTTTTCGAAATACAATACCTAATTGTCGACGACGTTGAAGTTCCGCACTTAAATAACAAAGACTTTTTGTTCTTTTTTTTAATAATGAATACTCATTATGTATACTAACCGATATTTTTGTAGATGTTCTTCATGTTTTTGTGTAATAGCAATTGCATCAATTTCCATCTTTTGAGCTATTTCATCTGCTTTACGTTGAGCAGCAATACGATTAGCTAAATTCTTTTTCAAAAAAAAGACATTTTACAAAAAGATTACTAAATAAGTATTCCTATTTTACTTCACTCTCAATTTCGAATACTTCTTCACCAGCAGCTGGTAATGTTTTCCAACCAGTTACTTGAACAGGCATACTTAATGTTGCATGTTCAATTTGAATACCTCGTTCATTGTATAAAGCTCGAACCTTAATTGATGAAATATCTATATTTTAAGAATTGAAACTTTTTTTTATGAAGAAATTTACTCGTGCAACACTTTGACCAGCAAGTAAAATAGTTCCTTTTTTTAAAACACCACGTTGAACAAGAATAGTAGCAAGATTTCTGTAGAATCAAAAAATAAAGAAAACATAGATAACATATCGATTGATAATTGCTTACCCTCTTATGGCTCACCCCTTTCGTTGATTATTATCGAATTCATTATTTTCTGATATGGATTCTTCATGTTTTGATTCGAGTATTGTACCTTCGACAGGTCCATTTGTATCACCACGTAATTGTTGTAATTCAGCTACAGCTAAGATTGATTCGAGTAATTTATCAATATTTATATTCTTTATTAAACGAAAAAAACCAATGCTAAATTTTTCAAAAACAAAGGTTTCTACTCACTTTCAAAGCTGAAATCGGTACACCAACAATATCACCACCAATGGATTCAAGTTGTAGACCATGTTCAGCAAGCATGGTCTCCGTACGTTTCTATTATGCGTGTAAAAAAAAATATCAAACGAATGAGCTTTCAAATTCGTTATCTTACGACATTGGCATCAGCTTTATCAATTTTATTGATTGCAACAACAATAGGAACTATAGTAGGAAAAAAAAAATATTGTAAACCTTTATTTTTATTACGAAGAAAATAAAATTTACCTTTTGCTCTATTTGCATGTGCAATACTTTCTAATGTTTGAGGCATAACACCATCATCAGCAGCAACAACAAGGACAACAATATCTGTTACTTGAGCACCACGAGCACGCATTTCAGCAAATGCTAAATGACCAGGTGTATCAATAAATGTTACAGTTGTTGATTTTGATACAGGTACTAGAATAGATAAAAACATCAATGAAATCAGCGATAGAGGTTATATAGAGAATCTCAACTGACATTTTGACAATATTGCAAGAACTATATATATAGTATAATAATTTAAAACTTACCAATAAAAGCACCAATATGTTGTGTAATTCCTCCAAATTCACTTGATACAATATTACTATTTCTTAATGCATCCAAAAGACTGGTTTTTCCATGATCAACATGACCCATAATAGTAACAACAGGTGGTCTCGGTTTTAATTTTTCTTTTGGTGGCATAGGCCTATAAAAGAAGAAAACAAACAAATGTATCCTTAAATTTTAGTCGTTTTCTGCTCTTCAAAAATAAAACATACGTGCGAACAAATTTAACTACATTTGCCACTGGTTTCTTTTTCTCATTTGCAAAAGGTGATGGTATAAGTCTATGTTTTCCACCACATAAATGAACTACTTCGACAATAACATTAAAATCAACGATTTCTAAAAATATGTCTTGTTTTCAGAAAAAGGTTCATTTCTCTATAAATTGACAAACCTTGATTATCAGATGAGTATTGATCACCATTTTTTATATGAATAAGACAATCATAGACATGATCTATATCAAAAGATTCCCAATATATTGGAAAAACAAAAAAGAAGAAGAACCTACCAACATTAATATCCATCGCTTGTGCAAGTGCTTTTACTGTCATTTTATGATAGACTTCTATAATAGGTCTTTTACTCTTGGGTCCATAGGATATTGGCTGAAAACAGATAGTGATTATCTTCTAATTATTATTGATAAAATAATTGTATGACATACTTGATATTTTTTATTACTTTTAGTAGATTTTGAAAGAAACCGTAGAGAATAGAAAGAATTTTGGACAGGTAATTTGAATAAAAGAGAAGACATGTTTCTGCGCTGTTGTTGTGGATGAAAGAAAATAAGAGAATTAGTTAGTCGTTGTTGACACAAACGACAAATTGGTACAGTAGATTTGAATAGAAATCGACTAATCATTGTATCTAGATAAAAAAGTTATAGTACTGATTAAAAACTATTCCTATTTGTATTGTATAAATAGTTATAGAAAACTATGCAATATCCTATTTTATATATTGATTCATACGTTTGATTACCATGTGTTTATATCGATCAGTGATCATCGAATTTATAAAATTTACTTTCACATTCTTATATTTCGAGTGAAGGATGAGCTTTGTATTAATTCATAAATAGATTAAAAAAAATCGTTAGTGTTGATATAAAATTTCTATATAAATTAATTCAAAATTATATTGATCTATTTTCTTTTCTAAATTGAATCTGCCTATCTAAAAATCAATTTTCTGATAACCATGAAAAAAGATAATATGCAAATCCAAGCATCTATTGACTTTTGAACAAGCGAACTGTTCAACTTAATGATACAACTCGACTATATATTTATTAAAAAGTTTAACGTCATATATCTTCTCTACTGTAATTTAGAAGAATAATGAATTTCTGATTAAAAATAAAAACAAATGCGATAATCATATTTCTATTGAATTATTTGTTTTATTTTTGTTTTTAATGAATATATATATTGAGAGAGAAGTTTACTATAGAACTATACAAATAAAGAAAAAAGATGAAGAATAACAAAGTACATAGTCAATCAATTAATTAATCAAAAAAAAAAAAAGAAAAACAGAACAAACAAGAAGCAAATACGATTTGATTAAATGAAAAATAGAACAGATATTGATTGTACTGAGAAAGTTCACAACATGAGAATAAGCTTTATTCTTTCTCAGAAATGTACCTTTAGTGAACAAAGAAAAAAAAAATAATAATCATCATCCTTGAGCAATAAACAACGCTTAGATGGATGTGTAAATTTTTTTAATGTTTACAAAAGTATGGAATGTGATTATTTGTTTTGATTTTTTTTTCTTATTGTGAAGAACGAGACACTGTTTAACTACGTTTAAAAGAAAAGAAATTTTTCTTTATATCTCATGCATATTAATAATAGCCCAGTGAATTAGCTAGGATACATACAAGCAAAAAAGAATTCTTTTTTTTAACATACAAATGATATATATCTACATGCTGATTATTCATGAAAAAAAAAAGCAAAATTTTGATTTTTTTTTTTTTTTTTTTTTTTTTTTTTGATTATTTTTGTTTTCATTTCAATAATTAAATTTCACTTTGAGATCGTGTTGGATGTGAATTACGGCTTTTTAATGATACCGTTTCAGTACCATTTATACTTCCGACATCTTCACTATAGCTAAATAGAATAATTTTGAATTTTGAAAAAATAAAAAACAAAAAAAAAAAAAACAGGAATTTTCACCTTGTATCAGACATTAATTCAAGATCATTATCTGCATTAATTAATGCTTCATTATAACGTTGTATACGATATGCAGTTGCTTCCATTTTTTGTTTAACTATTAATAATTCTTGTTCAACAATATCTTTATCTTTTTCAGTTAAATTTAAACGTTTTTCTAAATCCATGATTTTCAATTGTAAAACTTCACATTCATCTTTATTATCACGATTTAAACGATCAGCTAATTTCATTTGGTCATCAGCACGTTTTACTTTTTCATCCATATATGATAATTCTGATTGTAATTGTTTAATATTATCTTGTAAACGTGTTAATTGTCTTTCACAATGTTCACGTTTAGCAACTTCATAATCATATTGTAATGTTAATACACGATTTGATGAATTCAATTTTTCTAATTCATTTTTATCAACTAATGAGATTTGTTTTAATTCAAGTTTTTCTTCAAGAAAAACACACTAAAATAAATTACATAATAAGAATTAATATCTTTTTTTTTGTTTAATGTAAGATTATTGAATGAAAAGCATTCATGCACTGCATACATGCATGTCAGTATAGGCTTTTTAGATACAATAGAAAAAAAAAATGCCATCTTTCTGTCAAACTAACACCCAACATGCTGCTCTTTTAACCTACATTGATGCTGACGATACTTAGAATGACATAATAAAGTGATCTACATAATCTACATAACTTTATTTGACTTGCAAAAAGATAAAATATACCTTTTCTTTTAATTGATTATTTTCTTTTTCTAATTGAGCCATTGAATCATATAATTTAGTCATTAATCCTTCATGTATTGCATACTTGAAACAAAAAATAAAGATTTACATAAGAAAAGAAAGAAAAAATTGAAAATTTTTCTTTACATTTTTAACATGATTATGATAATTTTGTAAAACAATACGATTTTGATCGTTTAATTCTTCAATTGTTGCTCGTAATTCTTTATTTTCTCGTGTAATCATTGCATTAGCCTCTTCAATCTAGAAAAAAAATAATTTCATAAAAATAAATAAAAAAAAAAAAACAAAAGATTTTTTTTCTCTTTTAATACCGAATTTTTTTGTGATTCAAGTGTTAGAATTTCTTTTTCTAATTTTTCCACATCATGTTTAAGTGTTTCTTTTGTTTTTTGTAAATTTTTTATTTCCCAACCCATATCACTAATATCTTTACGTAAATCACTAATTAATGTATCTGATGAAAGAAGATTATTTGTTGATAAATGTTTTGTTAAACTATTTTGTGATGATAATTCACGTTGAGCTTCTTTAAGACGACTTCGTGTACGTAATAATTCCCGACGTAAATTAATTGAATCAACTAGACATATCAACAAAAAAAAATATATATATTCAAAATCAAATAAATTCTGCTTATTTTAATTACGTTCATCAGTTGAATCGATACGTCTTATAGGTGTCGTTGATATTGAAGAATTTGAACGTGGTGCTGATGTTGGTGTTTGTATAGTAATTGTTTTCGCGGCTAATTCATTAACTTCGTTTGTTAATTCGGTTATACGTTGTTCTTTTGATTTTAATGTCATTGTCAATGATTTGACCTATGAAAGATTAATTTTAGTTTTATTTATTATTTAGAAAATAAAAAATTCTTTTTACTTGTTGTTCAGTTTTTTTGCATTGAAAAATTTTTGATTCGAATAAAGAAAGAATATCTTGTTGTTGATCGGACTAGAGTATGATAATAAAATTTTATTGCACATTGATTATATTAACTTACTGTGACTTCACAAAAGTTTAAAACAAGTTGAAGAAGTGGATTATTTGTATCTTGATTTAATCTATTTAATATTTTGTTTTTTTTTTTTTGTTTATTTCAAAGAATTAACTCAAAAATTAATTCTTACTTATTTTGTAATGCATTACTGAATTGAGTTAATTCCTTCATTTTTTTTTCTGAATTTTCAATTTGTTGATATTGTTCATTGACTTTTTGGCTTAATTCACTGTTCTTTGTTTCCAGTTGTTCAATCTATTAAAAGCAAAAAAAGAAAGAAAAATATTTTACATCAGATATTAAAAATATATATATATATTTACATAAGTTCGTATCTGTGGTGATATCTGAGGTTGAGGTGATGAAGGAGCACGATGTAGGAGATTATTTTGTTGTTGATCGATTGTAGCTTGTTCAGCTAAAAGTTTCTTTTTATATTAAAAGAAAAAAACAACATTGAACCTATAATCTTACCAGGCGAAAATGTATATGTAGGTACTTTTTTGTTTCGATCACCACCAAACTTAAATACGAGACTTGAAACTTTAGGTCTTGGCTCTTGTTGTTCATTATTTCCGTTTGATGGTGATGCTGCTACTCCCTGAGAATTATTAACTGTAATTGTCTAAAATAGAAGAGAAAAACTTTTGATTTATACAAATAATGAGAGTACTTACTGATGTAGTTTGGTGCATTTTTTGATCACTGGCACGTCGACGTGGGTCTAAATTACGTAGGCGATCCATGACGCCCGTGAGATCTGAAGGGCAAAAAAAAAGAAATCATTTTCGTTGATTGTTCAAGGATATATATAAAAGAAAAAGGAACTGAAAGAACGAATGATTAGACAAGGACATTCGTAAATATGTATAATATTATTTTCATATTTAATGATATCAATCAATTGATTGAATATTGATTTCTTATATCATACAAATATATGATATAAGAAAGAATTGAATATAAAGATTATGATTATTTACAATCACATATTGTTTTCTTTTTTGGAAGAAGAAGAAACGAATCCTTTGAAATGTCGACCAATCGAAATAAATGCAACTTTTAAATGACATTTATATGCATATTTTTTTAAAATCTTCTTTAATCATCAAGAATAAGATAGCAAATATGTTAAAGTTGATATTAACTACTTTCTTATCGTTGAATATAATTTGAAGATTTGATTGATTGTAATAAAAAACAATGATACATTTTACGCTGATTACTAGCGACAATGTTTTACTAAACACTAGTGACATATGAAAGAAATATAGACAAGAAATAAAATATTTTATTAATCTTAGTTAATTTTCAACAAAACTATTTTCATAAGTTAAAATAAATGATTCATTTCTTCATATGTTATTTCCAACCATAATTCATTGCTTTTACGTAAATATCGGGAGATAATCGACGTAGTTGCCCTTAATCGAGTTTTATATTGAAGAACATAGTAGTTATAGTATGATCTCAAAATAATAGCTTGTAGTGAGCATACCAAAAGGAATCGGTTTTGAAATTGGTTATAAATTATAAGACCATAAGTCTCGTTTTTAAAACAAATTAATGATGATAGCTTCATTTAGTTTTCTTTCAGAATAGTGTCAGAAACATTGATGCAAAGCATAGTTTTTAGCAATAACAACAATCTTCTAAATATATTTTCATTAGTATTCGTATGATACTGAACTTTTCATTCAACTATTTGGTTCACGTTCTTGTGGCACGAGAGATGACAACCGATGAAAAAGAAGAGAAGCACTAAATTCGAATGAAAAACAAAAGAATTCAAACGATAACAACACTTAAAAATGAATAAAAACATTTAAGAAAAAACTCTAATATATTATAAGAATTCAATTTATTTTGTTTTAAGTCATCATCGATCAAACACAGTATACACCATGAACAACAAGAAAAAGTTAATAAAAACAACAGCAACAGCTGCTGCTATCTCATCTGAACATTCGAGCACAAAGTCAAGATGACCTCCTTACCATCGTATAGTTCAAAACGTTTTGGTTATCAGAGTCGATACTGGTACCGATCTAGAGAATAATAAAGACTGCAAGCATACAATTTGAAAATTAAAAAAAAGGCAATTAAAAAAGTTAACCTATTCACGTATGTCGATGAATGTATCAATTTTATCAGTGACCCGAAACAAGACAAAATATTTATAATTGCATCAGGTGCACTGGTACAAAACACAGTTACGATCATGCGAACATGCCTCAGGTCAGCGTGATTTAGACTTTTTTTGACAATCAAGTTTAGCATGAACAATGGACCAAACAATGATCAAAAATAAAAGGTATCATTACATATATTGCTTCTATCTGTAAAACTCTTCAACAAGAAAGACAAGAATGTGACTAAAACATAATATCGATCGGTTTTGTCATAATTCGTAGTGAAAGTAGCAAGCCAAATCTCAATGAATGGGATTCTTCTTTTGTGTACACACAGATAACGAAAGAAATTCTATGAGCCATTGCTTTCAAACAACAACAAAGTGATGATATTTTTTTACGATGTGTCACGACGTTTTCGCTCACAATCGGAGAGAACGTCATCACGTCAACAAACTCGAACGGGAATGATCTAGATCTCCATACATTTATTAAAAGCATACAAGAAGAGACTAACAGATCAATAGAATAGGTTCAACGTAGAATATGGATGGTAAAATCAGCCCAATATAGAGAAACGGAAGATTTATACAGAATATTGCTTGCTCAAAGAGCGAATAACGATGAGAAAGAACATATCTTTTCTCTGCTCGGATCGATTGAGTTTCACGAAGAGCAGATGCACACAGGTTCACCACTCTTGAAAATTCATCGAAAAAATCTCTCATGGTAATACCTGGACGTGATTGACTTTTACAATAACATGGGTTCCATGAATCAAGGCATGAGTGATTGTTTAAATGCATTTTGATCGCATCAAAAAGTACTGAAAAATCAGCAAAAACCTCTTATTTTCTTCAAATCATTCTGACTTTTCTCCTACTTATGGGCATATTATATTGATGTTTTTTTTAAGATTGGAGAACGTCCGAAAGCTGTTATATAGTGTGAACGGGCTCTTAAAATAGTAGAAAATTCACTACCTGTAAATCATCAAAGTCTTAAATTTTATAGATTCCACCTGGCATATGTAAAAAGAAAAGAAAATGTCATTGATCTTCGGCTTGTTCAAAGAAATAAATTTAATAAAAAGAAAAGATTTTCTTTTGCTTTTGTCTCAACAGATACACGCGTATGTATACACAGCAATTCTCGTAAGGGAATACAGTGGGATTATGCTAACCGATAAGGTAACCTATACATGTCTAAATGACAGACATGTATTGTAAATAAAAGACCGTCACGGTATAGCTTTTATTATTATTCTTTCTGTTCCAATGTAACAATAATTCATTGGATGAAGAAACAGAAAAAAAAAGAAGAGAATGTTTATCGATTTGAATAATTTGTTTCTATTTAAAGTTGAATTATTGTCACATTTGAAACAGAAATAATCCAACTGTACATAGAAATAATTCAGTCAATCGATGACAGAGAAGAATAAAGATGACTACATTGAAAACGATGGCTGTGTATAAAGGGGATGGAGAAGATGATTTTCCTTTTGTTTTTGAAAAAGAAGTTTATAGCAACTTGGTTTGTTTATTCCTATGTAGACGAATATAGTCGTTACATCTTCATGAAGCAAATAAATTTTGATGTCATGTTATAGGTTGTTTAAGAAAAACGTCACTGATTCTTATATTTTCTAAAAAAAGCTAGCAAGTAGAATACTACTGTATTTTTGTCATTTGACCTTGTAATGAGTAAAAACAACACAAGTCTGTTATTGTGGGAAGACGTCACATTTCAATGCACTCCAGTCAGACCCGTCTTGATTTTTATGTACATATCATTTCAGAAGTTTATAGAATGATAGTGAAGCATAATATTAAGAATACAATTGAACATGAAATTCATTTCAGATAAATAAATATAATGTAGTAAAGGAACTGTTCTAATAATAAAATAATATTCGGTTTTTTAACATGATAAAATATTTCATATTCTCTGGAAAAAATAGATTCTTTTGAGAAATGAAACGATGAGCAATTTGATCAGTTACTTGCACAATTTCAGATCTTATTCGCTAAACAGTACTCAACAATAATAACTGACTTATATAAGAAAACTTTAAAATTGAATTAAGATTGATAAATGTAAAGTCAAAGAAGTTTAATTTATAAGACAGTATAGTGCTCTAAGAACAAATATATTCTTGAACTTCTTATCTTTTGTAATCTTTCATGTTTACAAGTTAAAGAAACTAAACGAAAGGTCAAGAAAACCAAACAAAAGATCATATTTGAAAACCATTTTTCATTCTCTTATGATCTTCAATCAATTCATTCCTTTATCAAAAACATATCTATTTTCATAAAATAATACTATTTATATACTAATATGCTACGCAAATCATTACAGCACTGACTATTGAAAGTTTTTTCTTCGTGCGAAATTGTTTGTTTAATATAACATCGTTTCGTGTATGGGTTTCATCAATCAAAATCATAGCAATGTTTTTCTTTCACATTTCATTGGTCTATTCAAATAAAAAAATCATATTTTGATAAATATTTGTAACATAAAAAAACGTTCTTCCTTCGTAATGATCTTGATTAATCAAGCGTATCAAACAGTATCAGTTTGTTTATGCAAAGAAACGAGTCTACACTATAAGTCGACACAAAATATCTAGATACTTCATCGTTCGATATTACTTTTCAACATGTCGTTTTTAAAATGGTTTAAACCCCGTCGTAAAAAACTTGTTGACTCAACAAATAATCGAGACAATATTGCTGGTGACGATGATGTAAGGCCAGACGAAGTCGAAGAAACAGCAAAATCTAGAGGTCGTGATGCCGGAAATGAAAGCCAAAATGATGGAAATAAGCTGATTTATTTTGCTTGTCAAGCACCAAAGCAAAGTGTTATCGACAAACTTCGCTCAATTAACAGTTCTGTTGAGGTTAGTTGATTCGTATATAAATCTTTTTAAAGCATCTAAGTAAATAATAATTACAGACATTCACTGTGGAACAAGAATGTATTGATCATATGACACCAATAACTCGAACAGTTTTTCTTGTAATTGATGGTTTACCATCGACGAGTTTTATTGAAGCTATTAAACCATTAAAGCAAATTGATTCAGTATTTTTTTATGCTCCATCACCTGGCTCAATCGATGATATTAACAAAAAAGAACATTCTTATATTATTATTTCATGTGAAAATGAAGAAACACTTGAAGCTAGTATCATAAAATCTCGCGAAGAACTTGATAAACAAACAACTGCATTTAGTATATATAATAAAAAAGAAAAAGCAACACGAGATCTTTCAAAGGAAGCTGGTTCATTTTTATTTTTTCAAATATTTAAAATTGTATTACAAAATATGCCAAAATCAGATGGAGCAAAAAAAACTATGGTTTCAACATGTCGAAATTATTATCGTGGAAATTTAACTGAATTAAAAAATATTGACGATTTTGATCGAACATATAAATCAGATGACGCTATACCATGGTATACAAAAGAAACATTTGTTTATAAGTAAGTTTATTAAGAGAAAAAAAAAATATATTATTTTATTTATGAATATATTTTTTTAATTTTTTTTTGTAGATTTATTAATAAAGCACTTCGTACAGAAGATATTGATGTTTTATATCAATTTCGTTTTTACATTATGGATCTAAGTGAACAACTTGAAAAAAAATTTGACGAGCTTAGAAAGAAACAAAAAGATATTCTTCGACTTTATCGAGGTTCAAAATTAAGTGCTGATGAAGTAGAAAATTTTCAACAAAGTATTGGAAATTTAATTTCGACAAATGGGTATTTATCAACAAGTAGTGAACGCTCAGTTGCATATGGTTTTGCAACAAAATCTCCTAGAAGAGAAGGTTTTGTACGAGCATTATTTGAATATCAAATTGATTTAAATGATGTTAAAAAAATTGTTATTGCTGATATTCGAGAATTTTCAGCATTTCCCGAAGAAGCCGAAGTTTTAGTTGACATTGGTAAGAAATGTTTATTTTAAATCATTAAAACTAAAATATTTAGAAAACGAAAAACACAAATTAGAATAAAAATTGTTTAGAATATTTTTATATGGAGATCACTTTCTAATTCTAAGGCAGGTTATTAAATGATTAACTTGAAGATTTGATCTTTTCGTGCAATCTATTACAATATTTCAGTTGAAATGAACATAATATAGTTATTTATTATGATATTTCACATGTCCTTGTTACAATGTTTGTATAACGTGATTTTTGAAAAATCAAAAAGCAGTTACTAACTTTTGAGAAAAGAAATGTCGTTGAGTGCTTTTCATCTTAGAATTTTTCAGATATTGATTAAGTATAAGTCATTTGATCTCAAATTCAAGTTGAATAATTGCTTGTATAATCTTTTCTTTTCAAACGAATTCTTATTATTTTATCACGATACTAGAATATTTGACAGAGGACATCATAAACTATGTAGTAGTACACTATTACTAACAAATCATCGAATTAAATTTATGAAAGGGTTGCTAGAAAATGTATGAAATAGGCTTTTCAAATTTATATTCTTTCATATAGATGACAATGAATTTATACAGAAAAGTAGCGTCTTTCATGTTTAAGAAGTACTCAACTAATTAAGTTCAGAAGTGTTGTTCCTGACATTTGTGTTTAGTGAAAGGTATTTACTATTATCGTTTCTTTCTACATTGATATCAATATATCCTTCCTGTGTTATCGACTTATCAGTAATTCTTTGCATTCATACCATGACTTATAAATTTTTTTGACAAAGTATTATCGTTAATGAGCTGTCTCAACATCTATGAATAAATATACTTCTTCTTCTGACTATCACTCAACTAATAGTCGTCATCGTCAGCATCATTATTAGTGAATATTTAGCTTTTAAATCAATACCTATTTCTTTTGTAACTAATTAAATAAGAACGATTAAATAAGTTCCAATACTATGTACAAGTGAACATTCAAACAAGAAAAATATAAGAAATACGTGACAGTAATACGAAAAAGAAACAAGATGAGACAAGTGTCATGTATATGTTGTAGTGGAAATTAAAATTCAGTAGAATTTAAAATTCTACTAGTAGAAATTAAAATTTCATTTTCTACTAGTAGAAAATGAAATTTCAATTTCTACTAGTAGAATTTTAATTTCTACTACAACATATATATAAATTAGTCATCACTTCTATTACTAATAGGTGATGCCCTCTAAAATAGGGTTAATTACAATGAGTCTGGCTCTTTATATGATCATAGTCATAATGCATAATAATTACCTTTTATAGTATAAAAAAAGAACAAAAAGAAACATCACAACAAAAAATCCTTTCGTTATATAATCTAATTTAATATCTTACAAAACGAAATTCTTATTTTATTTAATACAGGAGCATCATTTCAAATTGATTCATGTCAATTTAGTCCCGATGAAGATTTATGGCATGTTAAACTTCATGCAACTGATCAAGGTGCTGATATCGCTGCTGAATATATGGCATACCAAAAGAAAAAAACGCTTGAATCAAACATAGTTCTCATGCTTGGTAATTTACTTCTTGAGATGGGTGAATATAGTAAAGCAGAAAGCTATTTTGATACGATTCTTAATTCTGAAAATCCAAATGATGAAGAAGTTGCTTGTATATATTTTAATTTTGGCCGTACACATCGATTAAAAGGTGATTTTAATCGTGCAACTAATTGTTATCAGCGTGCATTGAAACTCCATATGGATGCTCGACCAAAACGTTTAGCTAGTGCAGGAAAAACTTTAAATGGTCTTGGAGTTGTTTATAGTGAACAAGGACGACAAATGCAAGCTGAAGAATGTTTTCAACGTGCTATGAAATTATATGATATAAGTATTCCAAAAAAACATGTTGATGTTGCTGGAACATTAATTAATTTGGGTACCATTGATTGTGATCGACAAGATGTAAAAAAAAACAATTTTCAAATAAAATCATAATTTATTTTTTGTTTTCAATTTAGTATGATAGAGCATTGACGAAGTTTCTAAGAGCAAAAAAAATTTATGATAGTTCTCTTCCACCGGGTCATCCAAATCATGCAATACCAAGAGTTAATCTCGGTAATGTTTATTTAGCCACTGGAGACTATCTTAAAGCTTGTGAAGAATATGAAAGCGCATTGAAATCTCAAGAAGCATCATTACCAAGCGATCATCCAGATATAGCTCGTACATTACATAATCTTGCAGTTGTTCAAACGCATCTAGGAAACATTGAACTAGCAAAACAATATTTACAACGAGCAGAAGAAACAGCTGGTCATACATTATCTTCAAAACATCCAGTTATGTCTTTACTTCATAAAACAAAGGCCGTAATGGCAGAAGAAGTTGAAGGATACGTTTATTCACGACATTAAAAGACAATTTTTATTTTTTTATTTTAAAATTTTATTACTTGATACGTTTCTTTCGTATTTTTCCATAAATATAAACCGTTCGTTTTGAAGTACTCCAAATTTAATATTTGGCTGAATAAAATTCAATTTTTTTTTATACGAGAAAATTAATAAATTATACATTTAATTACCTGTTTATCTTTTAAATGTTTTCATTCATCATCTGCAAATTAAATATCATACAATCTCTTAGAAGAATAAAAAAATTTAAAACATCATTTTCAAATTAAATAAAAAGAAAAACTCAAAAAGAAATTTTAGTTCATGAAGTGAAAGACCGGCATCTTGAATTGGTAAAATCCATGCATCATCATTTTCTGATTCATTACGATATGAATGCCACATATCAAGTGATGTTGTAAATGCAGTATCTGATTTCCAATCAAAACGTATAGGTGATTGGATTATACCATTTTCATCTAAATCCTCTCCAATCAATGTATAACATTTTCCTTTCGGTGCAAATATTACCAAATCTAATGCTACTGCATTATGTCTTTAATAAAATAAATAAATAATCTTTGTTTTTCGTTTGTTAGATCTCAAAATTATGTATTTACCGATGAGGCTTTTGCATCGAATTCGCAGATAAAACATTTAATAATGCCCACAATGTTTGTGTTAAAGTTTATTTTTCATGTGTTTTTGAATTTCCAATTAATGTTCCTAATCGATTAGCATGTTCACTATCTGGCCTTTCTCAAATATTTTCTACTTTAGTTTTTAAAACTTTTTCTCGAAAAATTGTTGTTAAAAAACATTTTTCTGATGACTTTACTTGAAGATATTTAAGTAATGGTCCATCATGTACATAATACAATGCTGTATCATCGTGCGCAAAATGTTCTAACGGTTGTGTTTGATATGGAATAACAAGAAGATCACTTTTTAACCAATTTACTTGTCCTTCATCAAATATATTTGTTGTACTATGACCACGAATTACATATAAACAAAGAGATGTATATGATACAACACCATCTTGTTTAAATAAATCATTTGGACTAATATGCATATAACCCGAAAGAAGATTAGGACAACTAGCTGGATAATCAAGACCCAATGAAGATGATACTAAAAGTTTTCATGAACAACTTGTTTAGTTTCATATTAAAAACTTACAATCAAATGGAATTTCTATTATTAAGTTAGCTTCTTCGTATAATTTAGCAGCATGAGATGTTACTGGTACTGGTTTATGCTATAAGAAAAAAATTAATTATTTTGCTTTGTTTGTTTTTTGGTAAACAAAGATATTTTACATACTGGTAGTCGAACATTTTTACTATATTCATAGAGTTCATTTGGATTTTCAACAATACGTACTTTACTATGAGAACTACTCATATCGGCTATTAGCAAAAAAAAAGAAATAAAAGTTAGGTAATTATTGAGTGCAAGCAATGATCCAATGTAATATCCGTTGATTTTTATGATAATGTGTAGAATGTCTATTTTCCCATATGATAAAAGAGAGACTTTCGTATAAGAATAAGAAAAGGTTACCAAGGACAATATTTATAGAATCAGCTAATAAGTACTATTCAACAGATAAAAAAAGAAAACTTCGTATTTCACCATACTCCAAGAAGTATGTGAAGCCTATCCTATAGAATCTTCTAGATATTTCCAATCAATCTATTAACATGTATCACACGAGTAGAACCCATCTGATCTAGGTCTGAAATTTTTGTGATGACCAGGTTCATGTTGGAAGAAAACTTCGATGCATGGAATAACACTTTTTAAAATCCCTTTGAATCTTTGTTCGTTTTATTTAAAAAATCCTCGACTTATAAAAAAAGTATAAAAAAAAACAAAAAACTCTTCTTGACTATAGTATCTAAATCCAGTTACCATTGGGTTTTTCTCCAGAAATTTTTGGATCCGATAAGCTCTTGTCATGTGCATGTCAGTTTGAGTTCATTTCATACAAGTCTGTCTGGCAATTAAGCCCAAATACTCTTTAGCTTTATTGCCAAACAAACTTATATAAAATGAGTTCAAATGACTATCCTGGTGACACACGTTAGTGTTGTCTTACAATAGCTAGAAAGTTCCAGAGGACAGCCTTGATATATCCTTGGAGTATGTTGATGTACGAAATCTTTGATTTTTCTCTTTTGTTACTATCAATTGGATATTATGAATAAGTGATGTATGATAGAAACCTATGAAGTTATGTATAACATTGAAAATAAAATTAATTTCAAATACTTGTCAACAAAAACTATTTTTATAATTATAATCAATATCTGACATCTTTCGATAATGTATATTCTTTTATAATATCTAACATTTCGTTGAGATGTTCAAAAAAATAATTGAATAATATTAATTATTTTTAAAATGAATCGAATTTCAGATATTTCTTTGAATTCTTCTCATCCAATCAGTTCTTTTTTGGTATGCTCTGTTCTGTCGATTTTGAGAGACGATGAAGAATAAAAATTTATTATTTTACATCTTATCTTCTATCATATACGAAAAGAAAAAAAAAGAAGGAAAATGCATGGTCAACATGTTCTAATAACCGGTGCTGCTGGTGGTATAGGTTTTGTTATTGCACGTTTATTTCTTGAACAAGGTGCTAATGTTTCTCTACATTATCATCGTACATTTGATACTCTAACTCCATTACTTAATGAATATACTGATCGTTGTTTTGCTCTTTCAGTAAATGCAACTGATGAACAATCTGTAGAAAAAGGTATTGAACAAAGTTGTAATAAGTTTGGTCTTATTAATGTTTGTATTATTAATCATGCTATTTATGTCGAGGAAGAAACTCCAATATGGGAAATGTCACTTGAACAATGGAAAAATACACTTGATGTTAATTTAACATCTTATTTTCTTTATGCACGTGAATGGTGTCGACAATTAAAACGTTTAACATCAACAATGGATACTACTCATTTAAATGCTAATTTAATTTTAATTGGTTCAACAGCGGGTAAATTTGGTGAAGCAAATCATCTTGATTATGCTACAAGTAAAGGTGCACTTCAATCAGGTTTTATAAAATCTTTAAAAAATGAAATTATTCATATAATTCCACATGCAAGATGTAATATAGTTGCACCTGGGTGGACACGTACACCAATGGCCGAAAGTTCCATTGAACAAGGAAGACATTTAAAAGCTTTACGAACAATGCCATTACGAAAAGTAGCTACAACAGAAGATGTTGCTCAAGCTTGTTTATTTTTTGCATCAAATAAAACAGCTGGACATTTAACAGGAAATGTTTTAATGGTACATGGTGGTATGGAAGGACGTGTTTTATGGCCAGAAAATTCAGAATAGGTTCTTTTTTTGTCTATTTTTTTATTTTAAAAAATAAAACAAAAGTTTAATAACAATCAATGTGTTTTAAAACTTTTTCTAATCGCTTATAGTAAACATGTAATCACAATCAAATAATTGACAAGTGTTTCCATCTAATAAATGTTCAAAATGTTCAATCCAAACTAATGGTGCACACATATCATTATCAAGTAATGTTTGTAATCGTGTGTAATCAACTTTTAAATGAATTTTCCAATGTTCAATTTGATTTGGTGGAATATTAACTTGTTTATGTGTAGCATATTTCATTGCTAAATCCATCATTTTTGATGAATTTTCAAGTAGATTTGTTCTATCAATATCAAATGATTCAATAAATCTAAGAATAGATGATAAATTAATAAAAAAAATCATTCTTGTTCTATTGATAATATTTACCGTTGAAATTCGATCATTGTTGGTATAATAATTGTTTTCGGTAATGATCTAGGCAAGAGTGGAACAAGATCAAAAGCACGTGCATTCGGTTTGTTTTCGTACTTTTGATACGGTGCATCGATATGTTCTGAATGAATATTAGATTTTTCTTGATTTAAGCCTTGTTCAAAGAATAAATTAAGAGATTGATCAAGTCTCCATTGAGTTTTTTCTAAAAATTGAATTGCATCATCTCTTTGACAATGCGTTATAGATACAAAATAGGCAATAGAAGCTTCACGATTATGTGCCATTTGAAAAATACTAAATAGTGAAATGATGCTGTAATGAAGTTTGGTGATATATGGATGTCCAACGAAAGATCGACTGGATATTTAGATTATCGAATTATATATCATAGAAAGAAAAGAACGAACAAACAAAAAATATCGATACACTCGTATTTTTATATATTAAAGTTTTGAATTTAGACAACTCTTTAAATTCTTAATGTAATAATTACATAAAATATATTCTTATAAAAACGTGATCATATTTAAAGGTTTTTGTTCAAATGTTTGTCTTTCGGCACAACTACCACTGAAGATGTCATTTTTATTGTTTTATATAATTGCGATCTTGTTTTAAACAAAATGAATCTACAAGATATCTTTAAAAAATATTAAAATTTTCTCATCCTATTAATTTTCGAAATGTTATTCTCAAATTTCCTCATTCTAATTTTTGAGACACTTTTTTATATGTACTGAAACCTTTATCATATTTAAGAATGAAGCTTTAGGTAAATTTTCTATAATATGTTCAATTTATTCCTAGTTTATATTTTCTTTTTCAAAATGAATTCGTTGATGAGTCCACTCATATTGCAATTATCAATACATAAGACTCAATCATTATCCTTAAATAATTTTTGCAAATATAAAGAAAAATAAATATGAAATGTTTGCATTAAAGAAACAAATAGTTTATTTTCAATATTTAGAATTTATTAACATAATAATTAATATAATGCAAGAGAAAAATAAGAACTAACTAGTAAACGATTTAATAAAAGAGTTGATAAAAAATTTTAAAAAATGTTTGCTTTTGATGTCAGTATACGTTTGCATCAAATTTACCAAATGAAATAAAATTAAAGAATTAGTTCAAGTATTATATAAAATTTGAAATAATTATTCAAAGAAATATACGCGCTGATAATATAAAAAAACATTAGCAACATATCTTCAATAATCGTCAATGAAACATGTCAATATGACATAAATTACTATATATAAGACTACACAAAAATTGTTGTCCATTCAAGATCATGGTAATTGATTCATGTCTTAATATTTGTTCATGCATAACATATGAATAGATTAGAGTAAAACAACTGTTCTATTATATTACTTAATTAAAAATAAAAGCTTGAAATTAACTAAATGAAGAACAGGAACACGAAGCGAAAAGCGAATCTAATTAATTTATGAAACAGGAATAAAAATTTAGAGTAAAGTACATGTTCAGTTAACGCTTGAGAAGTGAATAACTTAGATCAAAATTTTATTTATTTATTTTTGGTTGATAAGAAACACGACTTTGAACTTCAAGCACACGCATTGAATTCTCAGAATATCAAAGACGTCGAAATACGTTATATACATCATATAGAAATATGCATTTTTCTCCTACTATACAGTTCATTTGTTTGAAAGTAAAATATACAGGTCTCTTCTGAAAAAAATCATAAATACATAAATAATAAGTTATATATTCTAAAATCTTGAATTTTTAATCGTCGTTGACAAGCTAAAACTAGAATCCTTCGAAAAAAACAAATCAGAACATTGAAAAAGTTTGAATATTCAACTATAATGATTAGACGATGAATATTTTATTTGTGTTTGTTCTAAATTCTATGCAGCTACCAAGAAACAATATAAGAGACTCTAAGGTTTTAACTATACAATGGAATATATCGAGGTTTGTAGACAAAGACCTTATTTATCTAATGGTATATATTATCTGTCTCTACTACATACTATTGACATGGCAATAGTGCACAGTAGAACTTGATAATTCATACGCTATTAAATCGAGGAAGTCTTTCTCAAGAAGACTACATAGATTCCTTGTCTACAGTTAAAGCCATGGAAAAAACTTATCGTCAACCTTATAGATTACCATTGTCATTGAGAATATGTCAAAGCTGAGTACATGAATATATAAACAACGTTTCTCTATATTGATATTGATTGTTCTCAGATGTCTGTACAAATATCCTGTAGTGACACGTTTACGTTGTCAATGAACAGACTTTCATCCCATAATGACAATGTATTTTTCAAGCAGTAGAAATAGTTATTGACTTAACTATGATAGAATGGTTTATAATTCATAAGAACTTATCATTCATATAAATGATGTCACGATATTCATAAGTCATTGATTATCCATTTTTATATTATTCAAGTCAAAAGTTAAATTGAATTGAGTTGCCCTCGTTTGAGTTTGGATTCAGTCTCTGATTCAGATAATTTTATAATTAGATCAAAGACACAAAGCAATAAACAACTTATGAACATATACAATAACAATGACTCTCCTCATAATATTACTTATTCATTTAACCACTGAATGTCATCATAATCCAAAAAATCAGTTACCATTTTTAATATGTCACTTGTTCAACAATGCAACTCTTCTTAAATGTGATATTTGAAGTTGATTTCTTAATTAAGGCAAATAATTAAATTATAGATAGACCACAACTACTATTAGATCCCTAATTAAGATGAACATGAACTAAAGCATCAATCGAATATCTTTTCTTTGCTCAAGTTTTCGTACGATAATGTAGTATCAAGTTTTGAGGACTTTTATGATTTAAAAGATATATGTCATTATCTAAGTTTCTTAGTCATTGTTTTTCTAGCCACGTATATGTAATACACATATTCTTGATAATATTTTTCATAGTTATTTAATAGCTTATTTGTATCATATCTGAGACATTGTCTAAAACTCTCCTAGCAGATATAAATATCTAGTAAAATATCATCAAACAAAAAATAACAAAAAAAACATTTATTTTCCTTCCTGTTACATATTCTTTTCAGTTATAACATTCAGCAAGTTTTCATTAGTATTTGAGAAAAAATCCGTTAAAATTTTTCGAATTATTTTGGAATATAAGTCCAGAAGAAAACAAATTGTTCTTTCTTTATAATTGTAAATTCGTCTAATAATTGTGCAGGAGATTGATCATACAATTCTAATAGAGACGAATTCACAAAATGAGAACTTTGCATTTGAATATGAATCATATAAACCTTAACGAGTTTATCCTTGTACTTTTCAGAGTATCATAAACTATCATGACAAGATACTTATTACAAAACATTAGTCGCTAATGTATTTTATGACCTTCTTACACACCATAAGATTGATAAGAGAAGCTTAAAGATTGAAAACTATTTTTATTGTTTGTCTGTCATTGTTACTATCAATATTAGTTTAGAATTCACAAGGAGAATGACTTCTTATCAAGTACATTCGTTTATAGTATCATAACAAGGAAAGAGTTTTCGAAAAGCTTCATAAAATAACATTCAGTATTATTTCTCTAGAATGATTAATCAACGTATAATTCCAACTTTGACATGAAATATGTCGTAAGAATCACATCAACATATTTTATCAGAAGGTTCTTTACTTGTCATTAAAGATCGTCACGTTAAAATGAATACAAAGGGTAAACAGAAGTAATCAACACTATCTCAACATTTGACATATGGTAGAAGTCATATGTCAATCAGTCGATTCAAATGAATTCACTGATCGGTCGAATAAATTAGGTACATGCGACATTATTCTTACTATTTTTTTGTAAACGAAAGAAGTCTTTTATGTCAGTTGTTTCGCTACGTATCTCAGAAAATGATATGTCGAGGTTTCCATTGATGATAAGGTTATTTCTTTTGTGGTAAAACATGACAGTTTTGCTATAGTTTCACAATCTAGTGAAGGTTTGTAAATGACATGTATAAGGTCGAAAAAAGAAGATAGAGATCTAAGAAATTAAGATGATACAAATAGGATTACAATAAGATTCTTAGAATTATAGTATTTCTCATTACTTTCTTGTATTCACTTTTGAATCTTCATTTAATGAAAGGATGTCACACAAAATCAACAAAAATACCAAGAAATATAACAAATAATACAGCATTTCTATTAGTATTCATTCTTATACTAAATATATATATTTCATGGTACACTAATATTTGCACTTTCGCATATGTTTATCTAAATTAAAAGAACAGGAGAGAACAAATTTTTAAAAAATGTGAAATTATCTAACATAAAGTTGTTCTCAGTACCTGACTAGAACGACAGTTACAAAAATACAACTTGGCTTATACCGAAGAACAAGAATTGTTTTTCTGTTTCATAAAATACATCAGAACAAAGAAAACACAAACAAGTAGGTCAAGTAAGAAATACGTAGACTGTACAATAAGCTTTCAATGACGATACAAAGAAAAATATACGAACGAATTATTTATGACCTACAAGAATAAAATAAACAAAGTGCAGATGTATCTTATGCATAAATTCATTAAATACAAGGTTTTTCTTCTTCTTATCTAATTATCGAATATTTTTTTGTTTATCAATTTGTTATAGCTATCATTTCATTAGTATATATTTTAAAGAACAAAATTGTTTTGACGTGAATCCATTTAGTGGGCGAACCCAAAAATGGAAATCATCTTGTTTGGCAAAATATTTTTGAGACTAGAAGATTTACATAGACTTCTGAGCAAAAACAGATGCTGTAATCTTACGGACTGCTATTATTCTTTCTAATAGAGAACTTCTATTTTGGGTATATGATTGTGACAATAAACTTCGATCGCAAGTATCAATACACTCTCTTTATTGGTTCACACGTACTGAAGTTAAAATTCAAAGATCATCTTCCCTTGTGAAAAATATATATAGTGAAAATATGCAATTAAAAATGTTTCGTTTATCGCTTCCCCCTATTCAATATGTTATTAGTGTCTTTTGTTAGCGTTAAAGACAATCCCATATATATCTACTTTATCATCATGAGAGCTCATGGTCCATAGTCAAGTTCAAAATAATTAGTACGTTCCTCGATAGTGAACTTCTGTCATACCGCTAATTCAACATTGTTAAATACAACAGTTCTGATACTTTCAACATAGAATTGGTGTCTCATCAGAATTTTTTGCTTCAATTTTCAAAACAAACCTGTCAAAGCCATGATGAAAAAAAATAA